GGTTTTAAAATGATTGTGGTGTGTGTGGTTTTTTACATCTTTGATGTAACCAGATAAATTAAAATTAGTGAGTCTGTCAAAATCTATGATTTAATGTAAGGACAATGTACACTTGTTTTTTAAGTTACACAATTGATGCTTTGTCTGGATTAGGCCTGCCACTGCCTGAAAAAGCTGCCGCTGGTGATGGGCACTGTTACTACTGACTGATCAACAGCTACCATGTATCTTACATTATCCCCAAAGTATTATTGGTACAATAAAAAATTTAAATATATTTCTACTTTAAGAGTTTCGTTAAATCATTATATTTACTACACTTCTGTCTGCACTTCTGTCAAAAGGAAGTTTCCAGAATTTATTTTAGCCTTTCTCTGAGGCTGTTCTGACTGGAGTATCCTGTGTTAAGGAAGTAGTAGTATTTTTTTGAAGGCACAGGGCCTATATTTAGGCACTCATTGTTGACTGTTAGTTTCCATGGCTAGGCTAAACTAAGTCAGTAACCATGTTGTTTTCTGCCAGCAATATTTATATCAATGTCATGTTTTGCTTGTTCTTTTTTAAGTCTCCTTCTTATCAAAAGGAGTCATTTAGCTATTTTATTTTCTCCTCAATGTGCATGAATTACAAAAGCTGGTTTCTTGGTAATAATACATATGCTTGATTGATGGTTTTATAAAAAAGCAACAAAGTTGTTCCTAAAAAGTGTGAGCGGAGATCCAGGATAGAGTAGAACTTAGAATATGTGTATGCAAACTAGGCAGGGCACTTGAAAGGGTGTTGTTTGGCTTGCCAAAGTTCAATTTTCACTACATTTAGGACTCTGATTTTGCATGCTTTCTCTTTATTCAAGCATCAGAGAAGTAGAAAGAAAAAAGGATTAATGGCACTACATATCGTTTGTCAGAAGGCAGGAAGTAAATGTGACTTGATGTTGAGGAAAGATGGCATTAAGCAGTCAGGAATGGGGTTTACATTGTGCTTAACTACGTGTAAGATACAGAAGTAACAATGATGACAAGTAGTATTAGCTGGTGCTAATAGAACTAATAACTAATATATGCATCATATTTATGTATTCTAAAGCATTGTTTTTAGAGCTTTACATGTTTAACTCATGAAATTCCCCCGTGGACCCTGAGGTAGGTGCTATTTTTTTCCTCTCTCAACTCACTTAATCCCTATAACAACCCCATTAAGTAGATGCTGTTATTAGACCCTTTTTATAGATGAAGAAATGAGATTAAGTAATTTATCCAAGATCAGTACAACTAGTAAGTGAAGCTGGAGTTCAGATATAGGCAGTCTAGTTCCAAAATTCATGTTCTTAACTACTGTGGTAAAATAAGTAATGGCCCTCAAAGATACCCAGATCTTATTGCCTGGAACCTGTGACTATTATCTTATACTAGGCCTGGTGCACGAATTCATGCACTGGTGGGCTCCAGCCGGCCCACCCTGGTGGGGCTGATCGGGGGCGTGGCTGGCCGGGGCAAAGGGCCATGGTTCTGGGTTCTGGTTGTTCTGTCTTTCGGTCACTGGGCTTTTGTTATATAGGATGGTTAACACATTAAGCACCATGTGGGTCACTGGTGACTGACACTGAACTTGTCAGTCTCCAGCCGCAAGCATATTGGTGAAATCAGATATCACAGGCTAAATGGAAAGGAAGACAAAATAGGCTTGATGCTTAATGTGTTAAAGAGATTTTGCAGAAGAGACCAAATTAAGCATTTAGGAGATGAGGATATTAGCCTGGATTATTGCACTCTATTTAAATGTAGTCACAGTTGCCCTTGTAAGAGGGAGGTAAAGGGAGACTTGACAGAAGGTGGTGATGTGACATAGAAACAGATTTGAAGACCGAGGAAGGAGTCGTAAGCCAAGGAATGTAGCTCTAAAAGCTAAAAAAGACAAGGATTGTCCCCCGGAGCTTCCAGAGGAAGCGCAGCCTTGATTCTGGTCCATTGAAATCATTTCATACTTTGACCTCCAATAGTATAAGATAATAAATTGACTTTGTTTTAAGCCACTAAACTTGTAATTTGTTGCAGTAGTACAGGAAACTAATACAACCGCTATATTATAGATAATGGTACCAGTTATAGTTAAGACTTATTATAAGCAGCCCTTCTGCTCAATCCATGAAGAAATAATCTCCCTTAATAGCCCTGTTTTATGACACTTGTCTCTTCACAGCATATTTTCTCAGTTCTTATCTCTTTATGAAGATTATTCAGCTGTAATCTTTAGGCTACATCTGTTCTGTACACAAACAGGGTAGCCATTCTGGCCTTAGAGTTGGCTGTTGAGCCAGAAACTTAAGAAATATTAGGGAGTCCCCTTTGGGACACCCTTGCTCTGATGGAGTTTGTATCTTCTTCCAATAAACTTCTATGTTTTTTATTAAAGTAAAAAAGTAAATATTAGGCTGAAGACATCATCTTTTCTTCAGGCCCACGCGAAAGGCGGAAACTAAAGGGAACAAGCGTTTTAGTCTTCATACCTGACCCTCCCCATGAAGTGTAGTCAGTGATAACTCCTGTGTTGATAATGAGAAATTGTTAGATAATCTCCTCAGAGTCAGAAAACCAGGCTTGAAAATTCAGGCTTGTCTAATGCCAAGTTAAAGACATTATTCTGTACTCACTGTTGCCACTCCAAACTAGACCTACTGAAGAGCTCGGATCTAGACTAGAGCATGTCCAACGAGTTTATTTAGTACTAAAGCGTCACCAGGAAGAGCACATCATTTCCAAATCATCCCTGACTTGCTCCACAGTCTGCAGGTTGGGCAGGTTCTTGGATTGCCCTGGAGGTCTGGATTCCTCCTGCAGGACTCGGAAGGTGGACTTAATTCTGTGTTCAACTTGGTTTTCTCTATTCTTGTTTTCGAGAGTTAAGACCAAACCCTTAACAAAACCCCAAAACTAGGGATCAAACCCACAGCCTTGGCGTATTGAGTCAATGTTCTAATCAACGAGTCTACTGGCCAGGGCATCTCACTTATATGTGGAATCCAATGAACACAATAAACTGATGAACAAAATAGAACCTGAGGCATGGATACATGAAAGACTGACAAAGGTTAGAGGGGAGGAGGGATGAGGGGGACCGGATGAAAGAAGCAAAGAGATTAGCCAAAGAATATAAAACAGAACCCATGGACACAGACAGCAGTGTGGTGATAGCTAGAGGGAGGGGGTGGGGCTGGATGGAGGCGAGTAAATGAGGGCCCACATAGAGGACATCTGTAATAGTACCAACAATTTAAAAAAAGCATTTATTTTCTAATGTATTTTTTATTGATTTCAGAGAGGAAGGAAGAGGGAGAGAGATAGAAACATCAATGATGAGAGAGAATCTCTGATTGGCTGCCTCCTGCACACCCTCTACTAGGGATCAAGCCTGCAACCCAAGCATGTGCCCTTGACTGGAATCAAACTAGGGACCCTTCAGTCCATTGGCTGATGCTCTATCCACTGAGCCAAACCGGTTAGGTCAAGAAGCAATTCTTTAGAGCAAAGACCTGGAATCTATAAAGTTGAAACTTTAGGATTTTTGTGGGGGGTATTCCTGTGTGATATATATAAAAGAAAAAAAAAATTAAAACAAACAAAAAATAGGAATGGTAATGTAAATATAAGATTAAACCAGCTGGCATGTAACAGTGTTCAGCAGAGGGTCTCAAGGTTAAATTTCAGAATGCTTTTTGGTTAAAATATGACTAAGAACCACAGTTCTGTTTAAGAACCAATTTGGACCAGTATAAAAGACAGTTGACCTTCATCCTTTCCCATTTCATCCTCTCCCTTTCTCCTTCCTCACAAGCAAATTTGTGACATTACTTTTTTTACAATGCTTTCTTAGAAATTGAAAATAATTTTGATATACTTGTAAGTATAAAAAGTAGAAGTCTATTCTTTAGTTTATTGGAATTCTTCTAGAAGTAGTGATATAATTGCAAGTATCCAAATGTTGGGGGGAACCCTGGTTAAGAAGTTGATGTGGAAATAACTGATTTAGACAGATGGTTATTTGATGCCTGAATAACATTACTATTAAATCAGGGATTGGCACATTTTTTCTACAAAGAGTCAGATAGTAAATATTCTACAAAGCATATGACAAAGTATTATCGTGAGAAACACAGTTGTATATTATTCCATTTTATCTCCTGTGTTCGTTTATTATCTGTAATTCTTAAGTCATTTTATTGTTGCTTTAGGATTTATAGTACACATCTTTAACTTATCACAGTTTGCCTTTAAGCAATATGTTACTATTTCCATGTAATATAAAATCTTTACAACAGTATATTTCCATTTTTCTCCTCCAGGCCTTTGTACTATTGTTGTAGCACATTTTACATCTACATATGTTATAGATCCCCCCAATATGTTATTATTTTACTTGAAACAGTCAAATTTTTAAAAATTTTAAATAGTTTTATTGACTATAATTAACATATTTCAATGCGGTAAGTTTTGACATAAGTAAACACTTGTGGAACCATCACCACAATCAAAATAATGAATGTATGCATCATCTCCAAAATGTTTCCCCTGCCCCTTGGTAATCCCTCCTCCAAACCCAGGCAGTCACTGATCTGCTAGAATTTTATACAAATGGAATTATAAACTATGTCCTCTTTTTCTGTCTGACTTCTCTCTTCCGGCGTAATTATTTTGAGATGTATCCACGTTGTAGGCATCATTAAGAAAGCATTCTTAATGCCAGACATTGCATTGCAGGTAGTTAGACTGCTATTATTAGCGAGCGTGCTGAATTTCAAAGTCATTTGTTGTGTTCTTTGTTTTAGGTCATGACTGTCAAGGTATGATAATCACCTGAGAGCACACATCGTTGCAGATGTCATTTGTCCTTCAGGAACTAGCCATACAACCGATCCATTTTTTCATTTAATGGCTTGATGGATTTCCTTTACTCTAATTCATACCAAAGCTGTCCTTCTCAACCAAAGCAAGAAAGGATCCTGCATGAATCAATCCCAGAATGCCATTTTTACATCACCAATGGGTGAAGAAAACCTCATGAATAACAACCACAAAGACTCGGAGAGCATCACTGGTGAGTCCAATTTAATATCAAAGGGTGTGGTTACAGGATAAATCCAAATGCCTTCATCCAGTGTATAAGATCACTATAATGAAACGGAGAAGGGCTGAATAAATGCTTTCATCCCAGAGTCTCCTATTATATTATCAAAATCTGCCTTATGTGCCTTTCGTTATCTGTGTCTGACTCTCTCTACCATGAGGTCCTTTGTCAGTCAGCAGGAACTATCATACTAGTCCTTCTACCCCCAAAGGGCAAGGACAAAGTTGCTTGTATTTATTGGTATATCCTGCAAGCGCTCAGCAAGAATACCTGGCATATAAGAGGCACTCAGGACAGACAGAGTGTACAAACACAGGTGAAGGCCTATAAGCGCTCATTTGCAAGACAAAATACAAAAACTGAACAACCAACGTTTTTTCTAAACTTTGGTTCTAAATCTCACTGGTCCACAAAACCTGACCTGTGCAGCTATTTCTAAACTTACCCCACTTTGGTTATGTTTATGTTTGCTGAAAATGTATTTTATTTTTTTAACTTTGTACAGTAATTTTTAAAAATTTATCTTTATTGTTGAAAGTATTACAGATGTCCCCTTTGTTTGTTGTTTTCCCCCCTATTGGCCTCCTTCACCCGAACTGTCCCTCTCAGGCTTTCACCACTCGTTGTCTGTGTCCCTGGGCTATGCTTATATGTATATAAGTTCCCTTTAATTAATCACTCCCTACCCACCCCTAACTTCCCTTTGAAATTCATCAGTCTGTTCCATGCTTCTGTGTCTCTGGATCTATTTTGTTCATCAGTTTATTTCATGCATTAGATCCCACATATGTGTGAGATCATGTGATACTTACCTTTCTCTTACTGGCTTATTTCACTTTGCAACTTCTCTTTACCGGTAAGAGATATATTTGTGGCAGGAAAATTTTGGATAATCATATGGAATTCATAGAAATAGAATATGATGTAGTTTAGGGCTCATTTAAGTGATCTGCTAAGAGCTCCTTTAGAACCATATTTAAGGTTTTAAATGTATCTCATCTTTGTGGTTATGAAGCCACAGCATGTCCTTCTAGGTGGATAGGGATGTCTAATATTGTTATCCTTCTTGTAATTGATTTACTAAATTGTTATTGTTAAGGTCCAGCAGTGGAAATTTACTCTCTTAGGGTATGATTTCACTTTGTTGTTCTTTGCCAGAGTTAGGACATGTTTCTTTATACCACCCACAAAGGAAATACTAGATCTCTTTAAAAAGTGAGAGGGTTGGTGTGACATCCTGTATTTTCTCTATGTTAAGCCCTTGTATCTTAAGCACGTTACAAGGGATAACTTTCCTTTTCTCGTAAATGGCTAAATGTGAAAGGTGTTAAGTGATGGGCAGTGTTTGGGACAGAAAGCCAGGAACAAACACCCAGAGGCAGAGAAGCGCAGGTGAGTTCAGAGATATGAATGTCACGGGGGAGTTCGGTTGTGCAGGTGAGAGTAGTGATGTGAAAGGTATTTAGGATGTTCAGTGCACCTCATATTTTTTAAAAAGTAAAGTACTAAGTCCAGAACCAGTGCAAGAACACTGTGCTGGAAAGTTAACATAACTAAAACTGGTTAATATTTAACCAGTAAGTGTTAATTTTTTTTATATCTAGCCGGTTTTTCCAGATTTTAAAGAATCCTCCCATAGAGTTTAAATTCTTTTACTAAAAAGGATGTAGTTTTACTTCTTTAGAACTACTTTCTGCTAATTGTTTGTGCTGCCTTTTTTTTTTACTCAAGCATATAAATTTTTGGGATCAAATCTCTTTTAATCAGCACTAACTAGGTTGACAAGGAGGAAATAATAAATTTGTCTAAATTTATTTTAAAGTTTAAAAACATACACTAAGCAATATATTCTTATATATTGTGGTATTATTTTACTGTAGTTCTCATATTAAAGTAACCCAGAGAAAGACCAACTACAGTAATAGGATATATTAATAAAAATTAGTGGAGAAGTGATCTTGGCTAATATATCTTGGATTTTCTTACTTTCACAAAATGAATTTCACTGAATTTTCTCTGTAGCCTAGTAATTGAAATATATTGGATTCATTTATAATACATGAACTCTCTTCTTTAGATGTCTGTTCCAATGAGGATCTCTCTGAAGTTGAGCTGGTGAATTTGCTAGAAGAACAGCTACCCCAGTATAGACTAAAAGCTGACTCTCTCTTTCTATATGAAAATCAAGACTGGACTCGGTCCCCCCACCGGCAGCATCATGCATCTGGAACCCTCTCTCCAGTCCTTGCTGAAGAGACTTTCCGCTATATGAGTGAGTATTTTTTTATCCTTTTAGAGTTTGTCCATTGAAGTAATAATCATGAGTATCTTGGCGTTGGCTTTTAAAACATTTGACATCGCTAGCCATTGTTTGGTGATGATTCTATGTGTTATGTCTGAATACAAAAAGTTTGCCACTCTTATGGCTCTGAGTGTCCAGGGTTTCAAGCATATCCAGATGTTCCCATTTCTTCTGTCTTTTACTTGATATTTTCTCAGACTGAGTAGAAAAGTAACTTTTTAAAATAATTGTGAAATAATTTAAAATTTAACATTCCTTTATGTCTCTTGACACTTACTGTCCCAATAGTTTGATACCCTAAGCCATCAGCTTTTTTACTCTTATCTTCCCTATTAAGCACAGTCACGGGAACTATGTCAGTCTTTAAGAAGCATAATTCTTGGACACATAAGTGGTTTTAATAATGACAAGGAGAAATAAGTGCACATTACATATTAATCTTCATTATTAACTTAAGAATTCATAGAGAATATTTCAGTGAAAGGCTAAGCCAGATTGTTCTGAAAGTAAGTCTGTTTTACATGAAACTCTTAAAAATGACAAAATTAAATAGAATATTTTTTAACTAAAGTATGGAAATCTTTTCGCTTTTGACCTAATTCCAAAGATCTTCATTCAGGCTGTGCTTACTTTTTTTTAATTTCCTATAGAAATTTTGTTTATATAATAGCTGTTATAATCCTCCTATATAATAAAAGGCTAATATGCAAATTGTCGCCATGGGTGCGAGTTCAGCTGACCAGGAGTTTGACCAGGGGGCAGGGCCGGCCAGCCAATCTTCCATGTCCCCTCCCTCTGGCCAGCCCTCCGACCCCACCCATATACGAATTCATGCACCAGGCCTCTGGTATATAATAAAAGTCTGTGGGTTCTACATTATGTTTGTGAAATTCTTTTAATTTGAATTAGATATGAGATTGCATTAGATCCTAGACATTTTCCTAGCCCATGTTTCAGTGTTTTTAAAGATTGTGGCTGTAGAATGATGGTTGTGAAATACTTGTTTTCATAGTAATCATTAACTTGCTTTTAGTAGTAGTTTCCTAGAATAAGGTTACTCACTGCTCAGAAAGAATTCTAAACATTTTTAAAATTTGAATTGGACTATCAAGAAACTCAGATAAGACTATTTCTGTCCTCAATAATTTTTTTAAATAGCTGAATATTATTAATAAGGCTCTTAAGATTTTTTTTAAACTTTCTAGGTTAAGAAGTGGCTTGCTTGAGATTTTCTGGAAAATGCTTTTTTAAAGGAACACTATTTTTTATTTCCATTTCCCATTGTTCCATGAGTTTTTAGATTTGTGAGAAGAAAATTTCAAACTGAAATTTCATCATGATAAATTTAGTTTGTCATTATTTTGATAAAGTGGCACAGAAAGTATCCCTTAGTTTATGTTCTTTGTCCCATAAGTCACGGAGGGGCAGGGAGGCACTGCAGCTAGAAAGATGTCTTAAAGATTTAATGGAGTTATTTTTAGGATGATTTTAAAAACAAACTGGGAAATGAAAGGTTTTTAAATACTTGGTTTTTAGGACTTTATATAAAACAAACCATAATGTTCAAGGGAGCCATTTAAAATGAGACTAATAGGATGTTACAGATCTGCCCTTTAGGTCCCGGAAAACACTCCTGCTCCATTAGTCAAATGGTACAGGTTTTACTTTACTTTGAAAATTAAACTCTATACTATACATTGATATATACCTAAGATCATGAAGCAGATAACTGGGATTATAATTGCTCCACTAATACTTTATCTTTGTAATTTACTTTCATTTCACTGTTATTTTAAAAGGTATCAATTCTTTGGCACTCTAATATAAATAACTTTCATTATAAATTTGCATCTTATGAATGTAAACGATTAGTGATTTACTTTATTTAGCAAATTGACCAAGGTTTTAAAAAGTAAGATACAAAACATTCTCTTACCCTTTCCCACAGTTTTCTATCCCCTTGATATTTCAAGATTGGTGGTTTTAAATAATTATGTATCCTGGTAAGCCATTCTTGGGTTCAGCCCCTTCTTTTCCCTACTTCCTGCACTTGCCAGTAGATACTGTGCTCATTAAAATGAACTTTAACAAATTATAAAGAAGTGGCACCTTCCCTCTTATATAACATAAAGAAATTGAAGAGCTGTGAGAAGGAAATAAATTTGGGAGGGAACAGGGCAGGGCTTTGGGTTGGGAGCCTGTCTCACATGAGCGAAATGATATCGGTTGTTCTCTGTAGCTCTCCTCAAACAGACTGGAAAGAGGTTGTTTACTTTTAAAATAGATCCAGAGAGCAATGAAAGGTCCAAATCAACCACAATTCATCTTAGTCTCCACCATCACACAGAGTTTAATGTTGGTACTTCCCATCCTGAAAAATTGTGAGATTGGGGTAGTTGATGCAGAAAAATAAAGTGCTTGTGTATATTACCCCCATTTTTTCCCCAGGAACATTACATTCTCTAAATATTACACCAAAAATGTTGAATATTAATTAACAACCTTCCAAAACCAAGTTACAAAATTGTTCTGTTAAAAAAAACCAATTTATATGTTAACTGCACCTCAATAAATTTTTTTATTATTTCCCTGATGTATATGGTTTTGTTATTATTGCTGTTGTCATTCCAGAGAATTAGGTTAGGAACGTTCATGTCTGGAAATAAGCAAGAAGCATTGCTAATTTCTGTACCATTTAACATATATTTATTTTAACCACTAAGAACTGAAGGGAAAATAGGATTTGATAGAAACGTAAAGTCAGTCTGCTTGGCTTTCTCTTCATTCCTGGTTAGAGAATTACAGTTAATAGTCTATGGTTTTAGAAGCATTTAATCTCAATGCCTAAATGCCAAGAGAACTTGTAAGAGCTGTGCCCTGAAGTACTTTTGAAATCTTCCAAGCAGCATGTCTTTATCAGGAGTATTGTAATTGGGCAGAGAAGACAGAACTCATTAGGCTGCAGAGAGGAATCATGTTTCTTTTCTTTCTTTTTTTTTTTTTTTTTAATATATTTTATTGATTTTTCACAGATAAGAAGAGAGAGGGATAGACAGTTAGAAACATCGATGAGAGAATCATCGATAAGCTGCCTCTTGCACATCCCCGACTGGGGATGTGCCGCAACGAAGGTACATGCCCTTGCCTGGAATCAAACCCGGGACCTTTCAGTCCGCAGGCCGACGCTCTATGCACTGAGCCAAACCGGACCCAGCTCGTGTTTCTTTCTATATGCTTTGTGACTGACTCAGTGGAGCAACTCTGCAGTTGAGCTGGCTCAGCCTTTGAGGTGGTAATATAAGCCTGTGTCACATAAAACATAAGAATTGAAAAATTCTGGTTGCATTATCTAACTTCTTTGCCATAATACATATTGAAGCATTTTAAATTTTACTTTTGCAACCTTTTTTTAAAAATATATTTTATTGATTTTTGTACAGAGAGGAAAGGAGAGAGATAGAGAGTTAGAAACATCGATGAGAGAGAGTCATTGATCAGCCGCCTCTTGCACACCCCCAACTGGGGATATGCCTGCAACCAAGGTACATGCCCTTGACCGGAATCGAACCCGGGACCTTTCAGTCCCCAAGCGGACGCTCTATCCATTGAGCCAAACTGGTTTTGGCTTTTGCAACCTCTTAACAAGAACTATTTTTTATTAGAAAGATAACATTTATTCTTCATGGAAAATTAGCAAAAAACAAAAACAACAGATCAACGATAATCCATACCCAGAGATAGCCACTATTAACATTTTAATATATATCCTTCCACTTCTCCGATATGCAGATATGCCCACACTTTGAAGAACAGAATTGGGATCCGTGCTGTATTAGAACATGTGGATACTCTAGTACCTAGTCAGATAAATGCCTTTTGATCTTGGTGGGACTCTTGTAGAAACAGCAGGATAGTGTTAGAGCTCCTTACTAGGAAAGAGCAGACCCAGGTTTTATCTTCTGACCTTGTGAGCTGGGTTGTTAGCACCTCATTATTATCCTGGCTTTGCCACTAATGGCTTGCTTTGTGGTTTGGACACATCATAAAATTCCTCTCAGTCAAGATTCCTCATACAAGAAAATGAGGTTATTAAATGAGATTAACTTCTTAAAGTTCAGCTTTAAATTCTCAAACAGTGACAGATGGTTTTATATAATACTGTGTCTTTCATTTTCTCTTCCTCTTACATCATGTGTGACTTGCAGCTCACAGCTGTTTTTTACATCCTTAACTTACTGGCTTTACTTCAAATTAAATTTGCCACTTCATTTTCAACTGCGGTCAATTATGTAAAATAGGCTATGTCATGTACTTTTTCAAATTAGTTGTATAAAAATTGTTTTTAACTGAATTTTATTATTCTAAAAATAAAAGGCCAAGGTGAGAGACAATAAGCATTTATTTGAGATCACAAAAAATAACTGTTCAGGAAGCACTGATTCAAGCAGAAACCCAAATAGTGTTCTGATTATGGGAGAAGGCAAGGGGTTTTTGTGAGAAAGAGAAGGGAAGTAAGTATATGAATACTAGAGGCCCAGTGCACGAAATTTGTGCACAGGTAGGGTTTCTAGCGGCTGCCAGTTGCTGACTGCTGGCCAGTGCGCTTCCCTTCCCCCGGCTGCCAGCCGCTGGTGGAAGGGAGGTGCTCTGTCAAGGGGACAATTTGCATATTAGGATTTTATTATATAGGACAAGGAAGAAATTTCTATTAGTGACAATAAGCTATCAAATTGTGAAGATTTCTTAAACCCAAAAGCCTGTTTTCCTTAATCCTGTGATTAAATTATGGAGTCACTTTCTCTACTTATAAATATAAATTCTTTTAGAGTGAAAATGATTTTTAGTTTTTTGTTTTGGGTGGGTAGCTTTTCTTTTTTTAAGTTTTCTTATATTCAGTTTAAAACTCCTATTTTTAGCTATCTTCTGATATCAACACAGCACTTTGTTTTACTTTTAACTAAGAATAAGATTATCATTAATAATTAAGGTCTAGGTAATTCTCATTCATTTTAAGCAATTATGCTAGGAAGAAAAATTACAAGCTCAGATATAATAACCATATCTAATGGTGCCTTTTGGGCAACTTCAAGTATCAAGATGGGTCTAAAGAACTACAAGTGGCTTAAATCGTATAATAGTATTTGCTGCCAACTCAGTGAATTATTTGCAGAGAATTTAAAATCAGGGCTAAGACTATACTTTCAGGGGTCATTTCTATAGTTCGTTAAAATCAGGGCTATTTCATACATACCAGTTGTGTTTAAAGAGTAATAGTTGTATGATAGTCAAATGATCATATTTGAACCTTCTAATGACCTTGTGCGATGCATTTATGGCCTCCATATTATAAATACAGAATCTGAATCTCAGAAGGGTTAAATGACTTGTTCCAGCTCACTCAAACTTTTCTGCTCCAAAGCCTCTCTTTTTTTATTTCTTCAAGACAAACTAATTATGAAAACCTAAGTAAAACATAAATCTGTATCATGTAGTACAGTCCAAAGTCAAGGACTCCTTTGTATTACGCATCATTTTCAGCTTAAAAAGATATTACTTATTATGACTGGAGTCACTGGAGTCATATTTGTCCTTTTCTTTGGAGCAAAATTATCCAGGTGCATTGACAGGTCCTGAGTTTATGAGGTACAGAAATAGTGGGCTTGCATTATGCAGGTAAGAATATAGTATACGATTTATTTTATAGCAATGGCCTAAATATGAAGATTATCATAACGGGTTTTTAATTAAGCTAAAAATGATTATGGTCATTACAAAGCTACAAAAAGTCTTACAAGTCATATTCCTTATTTATTGATGTTAACCAACAATAATAGGTGATGATATTCAAGATAATTACAACAGAATTCTAATTGAATTCCTTTGTAACAGTATAACTTCTCACTAACTGGTCCTCAGTGATTTAATTAGATTAGGATGTAAAACATTTGGTGATTTAATATATTCTCCAGCGCACATTCTGTAGTGTGAGTGGGCCTAAGTTCTAATTTTACCAAGGAAGGAGGAGATAGGAAGTGACTGCCATGTGATCATTTGATACCTTCTTAATTTATTGTATGATGTATGTTTGTTTGTAATAATGAATCTATTTACAGATTGTCCAACACATGAAACATCTCCTCCCCTTTTTTTCACATATATTTTTATTCTCTTAAATGGCTTATAAACATCTCAGTTTGTTGTTGTTATCTTTTGTTTCTTACGAATAGTTAAAATTATCTCTTATTTATAAATCCTATAAACAGTTGTTTTTAACTGTCTTAGTTCTAGGCACAGACAGGGTGGAGCAGATGACCAAAACTTACAATGACATCGACATGGTTACACATCTCCTGGCAGAGGTAGGAATATATTTTTTTCTTTCACCTGTACAAAAAACTAAAACTTGAAGATCATTTGGAATCTATCTACTTTTTATATCAAATGAAAAATGATGATGTATTTGTTTTGGGTTATTTTGTAAAGTTGTTACAGTTGAAACAACTGGCATACCATCTGGCATTCCAAAGCAGAATGGTTCCTGAAGTTAATTGTTATGAAATTATAGAAGGTTTAGGGGACTTTGTTTGTTTGTTTGCTTTTTATTACAATGGTGCTGGCTGGTCTTCCTGTCTTACAAAAAAAAAAATGTCACTCAGCTGGAGCAGAACTGCCTATTCAAGAGACAGTTCCATTGTAAATCTACTCCCACAGCCTGAAGCATCTTCCCAGAGTTTTGCTCTCAGTTTGGATTATTTTTTTTTAGCTCACTTTGTCCATTTTTTACACTATACATATTAAAAATATGTACTTTTTCCAATTGGAAGTCATAGAAGTGTCTCCTTACACTTCAATTTCAGTTGATCTATGGAAGACTGTCTTTCTCATTGAAGTACCCCTTTTCCCCTCCCCCAGTTCCCCAGAACCATTTTGTGTGTGCCACTTAGCTTACGTTGCCAATGAGATAAGTGGGCCTTGAAAATCTGGAAATAACCCATCCACCTATTGTCATGTACTATGGAGCAAAAGAGCAGAAGCTTAATTTTATTTACAGTGATTACTGTAAGCAGAGCCCACACTCTCATATAAGGTAGTTATATGTATATTGACAGGTTTTCATCCTATAGAATATAGTCCTCACCACCATCATGTACCCTGTTTCCCCGAAAATAAGACAGTGTCTTAATTTTTTCTCCCAAAGTTGCGCTAAGTCTTATTTTCAGGGGATGTCTTATCTTCCCATGCGCTAGGTCTTATTTTCTGGGAAACACGATAGATGGGATTTCCGAGTTCTAACTAAGTATCACCATGTGCCCAGAAAGAGTTAACTCTTGCTTTGCTTGGCTTTTCTGTAGGCAAATGCATCATTACCACCAACTTCTTTAGACTCTCTTTTTTTCTAAACTTTAAACAGAACCTTGCACTCCAAAATTTCATCCCCTATTTTATTTCATGTCATCATTCTTGCACCAATTGACAGTAGGGCTCTTGACTATGCTTTCCTCTAAGCCTCTGGCTCTCAGGGCATATAAGCTTTCCTCTAAATGAAACTTTTCAGCATACTTACCTGATTCTCATATCTAAATACCCAATTCTGTATCATTACCGGGCTTGATATACATATGCATTTATTGGGCCTTTGTTGTGTGCCAGGTCCTGTCCTCAGTTTTGAAGACTGCATTGATTTTCTTATTCCCCAAAGTTGTAAGTATAAAGGTTAGGTCGCTGGATACTAATCAGTAGGGTTGATTAATCAACAAATTTCACTTGCTATCAGGAAAAAAAATGCCCTCTTGCATTTATAACTGTGCTGGTCATCCATTTGACCAACATATTTTAAACATCACTGTGGGCCAGGCCCTCTATTTATTTGGTATCTGGGTGTTAAAATACTTTCTAGAAAGTTGCTTTTTGTGTTTATTTAGCAAAATTGACTGCAAAATCTCTAAACTACCAGGTAATTTTGTTGGTACTTAAAAAAAAAGTATTTTTGTGTTTTAACAGAGGGATCGTGATCTGGAGCTAGCTGCTCGCATTGGACAAGCTCTCTTAAAGCGAAATCATGTCTTGTCTGAGCAGAATGAAGCCCTGGAGGAGCAGCTGGGACAAGCTTTTGACCAAGTAAGTTTTTGTCAAGTATTTGCAGCGTGAGGTGTTTAGATCTTGGGCTGTGGAGGGATTTATTTTCCTGAGTGAACTGATAACAATGAGTAGGTAAGTAAGACCAGCACACGTGGACTTTGTTGGTAAACATTAAACTAAGCAGTAGAGAAATGAAAAATACTGTAGAGAGGAGTGCTTATGTGAGTCTGCGTTGGTCCATAAAGCTTATATTCAGTACCTGTAGTATTTAGGTTCTAACGTTTTTTTCCTTACCACTTTGTGTAAACTTTGTGTGTCATCTTTATTTTTTTAAAAATACAGCCCCAAATAATAGATACCCAAATGAAGTATCTTTGGTCAAAAACCCAAACAAAAGGAAAAGGAAAAGACCTTTTGAAAATGTATTTATTCCTAAGCAACGAATATTTTTAGTGAGAACTGCTTTATTATTATTAACTTGAATGGTTAAATTTCAGGTTTTCTGTAATTTGTTATTTTTACCTAGTTTTACTTAGATTTTATAAACGCATTATTATATTTAATAAAATTTGAGCCTTTTTGTTGAATATATTTATTTCCTAGAACTAAAGTTAGGAAATCATGCAGAGTTATACAGCTTAAAAGTACAAACCTATAGGATGAAAATTTGAAAGTAGGGATCCATTGTGATAGTTTGAGGTTCCTTCGGTTTTGTTTTGTTTTCAACTGTGAAAAATTTCCTTCTATATTTCTGTTATATGGAATGTAAAAATTGGCTTTCCTTGTCATCTATTATAGAAAAAGCTGTATTTGTTGAATTAATGCTCTAAAATTATAGTTTGGGGAGATATCTGAGGTTTATTATTTTCTTTTTAGCACTTGCTACTTTAGTCAGTAAATCTTGCAGCTAATTATTTTATGATGAGGAATAATTGCTCAGGAATAAAAGTTATATTACATATGTTATATTAAATAATCTACGTTAATAAAAGAGAAAATTCAAATTGACTATACCTTTGCAACACCCAGCCAATCAGGAGTAGGTATGCAAATTAAGGTATGTCAATTTGCATACATGGGCATTCCACACTGTCCCAGCAGCTCCAGGCCTCTGGGCAGCATGGGAAGGCAGAAAGGTGGCTCCAGCAGGAGCAAAGGTGGTGCAGCCAGTCAGGGGAAGGAAGGCCCATTCTCGCACGAATCTTCGTGCATCGTGCCTCTAGTACAAAATAAAGGACATCTTGTAAATCTAGTTCTTTTGCTGTGCAGGTCAATCAATTACAGCATGAGCTATCCAAGAAAGATGAGTTACTTAGAATTGTCTCCATCGCTTCAGAAGAGAGTGAGACTGATTCCAGCTGTTCTACACCTCTTCGGTTTAATGAGTCTTTCAGCTTATCTCAGGGCTTGCTGCAGTTGGACATGCTGCAAGAAAAGCTCAAGGAACTGGAGGAAGAGAATATGGCTCTTCGGTCCAAGGTACATTCAACCCAATTCCCGGTTTCTTTAACTTAAAGGTCATATGGTTTAAATCCAGCTAGTGTTGAGATGAAATGCAGCACAACTAAAGATTTGCTATTGACATTCAAATTTGGGAGTACAGCCAAGACGCTCATATTTATTTGCCTTCCCTTGTTTCTTAGATCCCACTGAGAATTGGATAATAGCAAGTTGACAGATGAGAAAGCGACAGCATAGAATATATACCTTGTCGAGTTTATGTTGGAAAATTACAAGGTTCTGTGAACTTGTATGATGGAGGGGGGAATCAAAGAAGTCCTACTTAAGCTAGCAATATTTTAGCTGAGGCTAGGGATTAGCCAGGCAGATAGGTATGGGAGCTGGGATGAGGAGGCATTTAGAGACTCAGAGGGAATGAGGGAGATATTTGAAACATCCTTTTCCATAACTTTAATTTATGGTAGATAAAGGTTTATGGGGTTATTTTTTCCTTTGTAAGTGATTAACTTGTATGTACAAATGAGAATTAAAGGTTATTTTTAGTTAATACTGTAAATAATTAGAAGACAACACTATATTTTTTTGTTAAAGGCTTGTCACATAAAGACAGAAACTATTAGCTATGAAGAGAAGGAGCAACAGCTTGTCAGTGACTGTGTTAAGGAACTTCGTAAGTATTAACATACTCTGTTTGCCTTTGGGCAGTTCTTTGGTAGGATATCTCCAACTCAGAAATTAGAACAATGGTTTCAGTAGAAACATCTCAAGAACCACTATTAAATAATTACTGAAGATCTTGGAATACCACATTGAATGTACAACTCTAAATAAAATACCATCTGTACTTTTCAAAAATAACTTTGTTTCAGTTGCCATCTCCATTGAATAAAGATCTATATTTCTATCAGTTATATCATGTTAGAATGAAAGAAACCAGAACTCTTATTTGGTTGATGAGAAAATAGTTCTGTAGAGAATGTGATTTGTCAGAAAATGACAGGTCAGTCACAGGGCCTGATTTAACATTCAGTGAGTAATTTGTTAAGTACCAACTGTGTGTCTATAAAGGAATATATTTTGGTTTGATGTAATGTTAACTAAAATAGTTTTTAAAGTAAATTAGTTGGGAAAATACCAGCTTTACTAGAGAAAGATATTTAATTTCTCTATTAATATAAAGCCTGTTACTTTGAAAGAGAAATGTTATATCACATCAGTTCATTTGGGCTGTGGGCTCAGAATGTGATAACTTAGAGTAACAGAGTATTGGAGAACCAGAAGTAATGTAAATTGAATCTTCTCCATCAACACTATCATTACCCACCTTTTAAACTTTAAAAAACAAAGAAGAAATTACTTGTCCAGGAATTCAGGTCCAGGTCTCCTTCCTTCTTGTTGCCATTCTATGAAATGTTATAGAGTTTCTGTCAATTAAAAAATAGTTTTATATGACACTAAAAAATAGTTTTATATGATACATGGTTCTGCCACTTGTGCCTAGATATCAAAATTTTTATATGAAATAAAGATTTATTTTCCCCATGGAATTCTAAAGATTCTATTTCATATGCATTCAAGAGTGCTAGCTGTAAAAATTGCTTTAAAGGTTCTACTCAGTTTGCCACGTATCCCAGAAAGTCTCTCTCCTACAGGGACATCTCAGTAGCTTCATTAGTAAGTTAACAGATTGTAACTGTTCCATTCTGAAAACGTTCCTATGTTAGACTTCTTAAATTTAATTTTCATTGCTTGTGGGAGTTTATTTACATTCCTGAAGAGTTCTCAAAGACATAATGAGATTATGTCTTAGCACTTGCAAAGATATATAATTCACCTATATCTTTTCAGCCTTTTTATTCTTCATAATGAAAAAGATTAAAGCAAAACCTGTAGCTAGCCCTTTACAAGTCATCATTGCCTAATATTCAGTTCCTAATATTAGCTTTTATTTCAGAAGAATCTTTATTTTTTATTTTATTTTATTTTTAATATATTTTATTGATTTTTTACAGAGAGGAAGAGAGAGGGATATAGAGTTAGAAACATCAATGAGAGAGAAACACCAATCAGCTGCCTCCTGCACACCCCCTACTGGGGATGTGCCCGCAACATGGTACATGCCCTTGACCGAAATCAAACCCATGCCCTTTCAGTCCACAGGCCGACGCTCTATCCACTGAGCCAAACTGGTTTCGGCAGAATCTTTATTTTTTAAATTTATGTTTTAAAAAATTGTATTTGTGATAGTCCAGTGCTTATTACAAAACAAGATTTGGCACACAGCCATAGTTTGCCAACCCCTACTCTTCGTTTATATTAATTTTTAAAATTTTTATTTATTTCCAAGGTGAAACAAATGCTCAGATGTCCAAAATGACTGAAGAATTGTCTGGGAAGAGTGATGAACTGATGCGATATCAAGAAGAGATCTCCTCTCTTTTGTCTCAAATTGTAGATCTTCAGCACAAACTTAAAGAGGTAAGTTCATTCTTTAATTCAACAGATGTTTGTTAAGCACTGACCTAGTACCACGCACTGTGCTAAGTACTAGATTAAGCAAAATAAACACGGTCCCTCCCCTTTTAAAGTGCTGAAACTGATGACTGCTTTAGTCTTCTCTGTGTCATGAAGCATGAATATCTACTTTCAAGTCACAATTTCTCTCTCAAAATGATACTGAACCTAGGTTCTGCTGCCTGCCGCTCAAAAACCAATAATCTAGAGACAGGGGCTAGTAGAAGGAAGGTAGGTTTATTCAAGAGCCGGCTGCCTGAGAAGATGGTGGACTCCTGGCACCAAGACTGTCTTAACAATTGGACAGAGGCAGAGGTTTTTGTAAGGAGGGAGGAGGAAGAGAAAAAAACACATACAACAGAACAGAGGAATCAAAATGAAGGGACTGAGAGTTCTCCAAGCAAGCCGACAGTCTGTTCAGATAACTGGTCGAAGGTCAGCAATTCTCCCGAAGCTGGAATGTCTGAAGGTCAGAGTCTACTGCTTTTGAAGTTAGTTCCTAGAATTCTTAGGCAAGCAGACTGGTTATCTGCAGTCCTGTATTAATAGGTCATCATCTACAGAAATGATGGTAGAAGAAAGCTGGGGGTGGTTACAGTAAATGGGTGAGATCTTCCTCAAGAAGTTGTGATGTGAGTTATTGTCTCGTGCGCATTGTCCTCTGAACCCCTTTATGGATTTTCTCTTTTGCCCATTTTATTGCTCTTATTTGGCTTTTGGAAGGTAAGCTTTTTTGAGATCTCTACATAGACTATGCCTTTAAGATGTCTTAAAAGAGAGTAGCCTCTATTTTGTATGGGAAGGCTTCACAAGTCCCTTTTAATATGTTGTTAGCATGTGATTGAGAAGGAAGAACTGAGACTGCACCTGCAAGCTTCCAAAGAGGCCCAAAGACAGCTGACATTGGAGGTAATGAAATCTTTCTTTATCCGGTGTGATACAGGACGGGGAGGAAGGATTCGCTTCTTTCGTCTTTGTAAATAAGATTTAAAATAACAACAGAGGATCTAGATGAGAGCTAAGAAGTAAAGATTTTTAAAAATTATCTTTCTAAAATTAGTAAAAATAGGCAACATCCTATTAATTCATGGGGAAAACCTTGACTTTTATAAGATTCTTTAGGAATATGTGACTCTTTTACCAGTTTACCTTAGCTACCACAATGGCTTTTAAAATGTCAAGAGAAATAGCAAAAATCTCTAACTTGGTATCTACATAAAAACTCTATATTAGTTATAATTTAGTGGCTCTTTAGCAAGCATCAGAGTCACCTGGCAGGGTGAATTTTAAGTGGAGATTCCAAGTACTACCCCTGAAAGATTCTAAGTCAGTAGGTCTAGACTGAGGGCCTAGAATCTGCATTTTAATAAGCATTCCCAACCCTGGTGATGCTAATATACAGTTTACATATTACACTTGAAGAAATTTTTGAAGTTAAAATGCACTCTGAAAAGTAGTACTCTTTTAACATGCTCGTGAACCTAACAATAAAGAAGGTTCTGAAACAAGAGAAAAACTACTTATTTAGGATAATTGAGCATGCTAACATCAAATATAATATTATGTAGACTTGATCTTGTCATTTACAGACTTCAGAATGATGTTTAAAAAATATAGCAGTATGCTAAATCTGACTTGAACATGACTACTATATTTCCTCTCCAAGTTTTTTTTTAAGGGAATAAAGTATTAAATATTGAAATGACGGTTATGGTTTTCTCAGCTATATTTCAGATTTTTAAGAAATCATGTTTATGTATAAATCTGGTTAAGACACTCCCTACTTCTGGCAATTTGAAATATATACTCTCCTTGCTTAGTTTATTCCAGAGTCTTTGTATTAAAATGAATTATATTCATAAACTTAGACATCTGGATAAAGTTAATACTTATCCCAAAAGTTTCCTCTCCCTTGCCGTATCTATATATATAAAAGCGTAAGCAACTGAACTACTGGTCCACCGGTTACTATTATATGACGGCACTGACTGCCAGGGGCAGATGCTCTGCACAGGAGCCGCCTCGTGGTGGTGAGTGCACTCCCACAGCGGGAGTGTCGTTCAGCTGACCTGTGGCAGCGGCGCTCACCTCTCCGGATAGGGACTGACTGGGCACAAGTCTGCAGCAGGTGCAGTGGAGCTGGGATGTGTGGGAACAGCAGGTGGTGTTGGACTGCTGGTTTCAGCCCGATCCAGACAGACCACACCAAGATACTCCACCAGTGCATGAATCCATGCACCGGGCCTCTAGTTAGAATATAATAGAATACACTAATTACCATCCTTTCTTTCAGTTACATGAATTACAAGACAGGAATATGGAGTGTCTAGGAATGTTACATGAATCCCAAGAAGAAATAAAGGAACTTCGTAGTAGATCTGGCCCTGCTGCTCATCTCTACTCCCAATCGTTTGGAGCTTTTTCTGGGGTAAGCCACTGAGAAAGACGTTATATATTTAAGGAAACTTGTTTAAGATTAGATTGTCCTAAGAGTGGTACAGTTTCTGATGGTGTAATGCATTTGAAGAAGTGATAATATGGATTGTCCTTTGATTTAGGCCTTATTTTGCATATCTACATCTACCTTAAAACTAACCTTCCTTCTAACAGGTGACCGTCCAGATTTATTGTAAAATGCATATGAAGTGTACCTTAGGGAAATTAGTTTTAGGTCTGTGTACCGTAGAGCTACTTAACCTTGGGTCATCCTTACCCCAGGCCCACTTCACTCCACTTAACAAATAGTGCTCTGAGCATCTAAAATATTTTTCATAAATCTTGAATTTCTTGTTATATTTAACTTCAGTTAGAGTGTAAGCCCCATAAGGGCAGGATTAATGTTTATTGAGTTCATCAATAAACAGTATTTTTAATTAAAGAAATTAATGAAAACTTTTGAGTTTATGCCCGAATTTGCAATATTGGTTCAAAGACTTATTTTAACAATATAGTTTTTGTTTTTTGTTTTTTTGTTTTTTTTAATATACTTTATTGATTTTTTTACAGAGAGGAAGAGAGAGGGATAGAGAGTTAGAAACATCAATGAGAGAAAAACATCGATCAGCTGCCTCCTGCACACTCCCTACTGGGGATGTGCCCGCAACCAAGGTACATGCCCTTGACCGGAATCAAACCTGGGACCCTTCAGTCTGCAGGCCAACGCTCTATCCACTGAGCCAAACCGGTTTCAGCAACAATCTAGTTCTTAAACACATACATTCACTCCTGTGAAATTTTTTTTAAAGACTGAAAATATAAATGATAATAGATTTTCTGAAGAAGAGTTGGGAGCACATTTTTGTTCTTTTGCTTTTGAAATAATCTTAAATCTAGAATAAAATTCCAACAATAGTTAAAAAAAACTCTCATATATCCTTCACTTAGATTCCTCAGTTTTTAACATTTTATTACATCTGCATATGGTTCTCTTATCCTGATCACTTAACAACAGTAAATTTTGCAGATACATCCTAATTCCCTTTAATACTTCAGTGTGTGTTTACTAAAAACAAAAGCACTCTCTACATTACCAAACTGCCACCATCAAGTCAGAAAATTGACATCCGTACAATTGTGAGATAGTAATTTTTAAATTTCATTATGTTTTCAACATTTATTATCTTTCTTTTGTAAGTTAGAGCTTTTCTATCTCACTTATTCATTTAGTTATTCCTATTTTAGTCAAAGGATTATATTTCATTATTACTTTTTAATTTTTTTAACATTCAAAATATCCCAAGTATGGCCAGGGGGATCTCCTTCAAGTTGTTTTACCTTTCCCCTGACTCAATCCTGGAATCAACCATTTCTCCACATTTCTCTGGTTACTTTTAATGAGGAATGGTATTTAGATTCCAACATCTGGAAGCTTTGTGTCTATTGCCACTAGTTTCATTGCATCCAGGTCCTTTGGCAGATAAAACTAAGAAATATACGTATGTTTATTTAACGCCCACACAAACACACCTGTGTCTTCCTTTCCATCCATATTGTTCACACCAGAACCTCCAGTCCCAGTCATTGTCAGCTCAGCCCCACTGAGCGTGCCATACATGCTAGCTGAATTCTAACCCAGCCCAGGGGCCGGGGAACATTGCTTATTTTTCTTTTAATGACTTTTCTAAAATAAAAGAAGCCAAAAGAAATTCTTAAATACCATCAAATATTGCCCTCCACAGAATCACTATTAACAGCTTACTTTATAGCCTTTCATACCCTTTATTTTTGTGTTTATATATATATATATATATATATAAATATATATATATATATATAATGTTTTATATTTATCATACTGGTTTTTGCCACTGCTTTCCTGAAAATGTAGTTGGTTCTTGTTTAAAAGTTACATTTCCTGAATGTCTCTTATTTTCTTCTGTATTTTCTTATAACACCAGAAGTACTGAATTCTGCAGACTCTGTTAATTAATTTAAGAACAGTCCATTTCACCCATCAGGCTTCTTATGTAATCACTCTTTTCCTTAGGAATCTCTGGCATCTGAGATTGAGGGGACCATGCGTAAAAAGTTGAGTTTGGATGAGGAATCGTCTCTCTTTAAACAAAAGTAAGTTCAGATCACATACATGTGCTGTTACTCAACTGTTAGGATGGAAATTTAAAAGAAGCCACAATCCAGAGGAATAGGTATTATATAAGGAGATTCAGTAGTAAATCTGCTTACTTTTCCATTTCTTCCTCTTACTACTCCCATTTGTGAGAGAGTTCCTATGTTCTGATGTTTATTTTCTCATGACCTCTCTTCAACTTTAGAGGCTCTTCAGGAAGGCTTTATTTATTTTCTTTTAAAGATATTTTATTTATTTTTTACAGAAAGGAAGGGAGAGAGATAGAGAGCTAGAAACGTCGATAAGAGAGAAACATCGACCAGCTGCCTCCTGCACACTCCCTACCGGAGATGTGCCCACAACCAATGTACATGCCCTTGACCAGAATCGAACCTGGGATCTTTCGGTCCGCAGACCGACGCTCTACTCCTGAGCCAAACCGGTTTCAGCGAGGATGGCTTTATTTTTAATGAATTATACCTATAGAGAGGCCCATTGCACAAATCCGTGCACCTTGAAAAAAAACTATAGGCTACGAGGCTGCGGTGGGCACAGGGGTGGGTCTCAGTTCATCCTCCTCATCCCTTCTCAGACCCTCCCACCACAGCCCCCTGTCCCCTGTCTGCTGGCAGCCCTGCTCCCGCTGCCACTGCTCCCATAACCTGATGGCACCAGCCCCTCTCGCACCTGCTGACAGCATGGAGCAATTGGGGTCGGTGTCAGCAGAAGGTGTGAGTAGGGTCAGCGCTGTTAGTGGGTGCAAGTGGTGGCTGCTGTCCCGATCGCCCCTCAAGAGCAGGGGAGGTGGAGAAGCCCTGCGGGGCAATCAGGGCGGACAGCCGATTGCACCCACCTACCACTCACTGATGGCACTGAGCGATCTGGACTAGCACTATGTGCCAGCAGTGGGTGCAAATGGGGCCAGTGCCGGCAGCAGGTGCGAGCTCCGGGCAGGACCACAGTGCATGGGAGCAAAAAATTTTCAGTAACCATCAGAGGCTCGCCCCAATGACAGTAACTAGTGCCCCTGCTCACCTGCTCCACCATCCCCCCATAGCCAGCACCTACCAGATTCTGTACTCTGTCGCCTGCTGCTGACGCCTTCCATGTTACATGTGCGCCCCCCTGGTGGTCAGTGCACGTCATAGCAACTGGTTCAGTTCCACCTTTTGGTCTATTTGTATATTAGCCTTTTATTATATAGGATATCTCTTTTCTGAAGCACCTCAGTCGTAGGGAGTGATAATGAACACTTCTTTTTTGACAGGGCCCAACTGAAACGGGTATTTGATACAGTCAGGATTGCCAATGACACACGGGGCTGCACTGTCCCATTCCCAGCTCTACTATCCATTCCAGGCTCCAACCGATCAAGTGTCATCATGACAGCAAAACCTTTCGAGTCTGGTGTACAGCAAACAGCAGAAAAAACCCTCCTGAGCCAGAGGAGCAGCTCGGAGGAGGCTCCAGGGTAAGAAACACAGATCGAGGCAGTGATTCTGTATTTCTTATGTCATTGACATAACAGATTCACATGCACACATTCCAGCATTGCTCTGTGCTGTCCTAAGGCAGTTCTGGAACCGTCCTTTTTATTCAGTAATGATGCCGCATGCCATTGTTTGTAAGACTGATCACTGATAGCAAAAAAGTTTTTTAGAGTGAAAAAGCTATATTTAATTAAATGAATTAAAAATGGAGCTGGCATCAAGTTTGAGTCTAAATCTTCCTGTTCAAGTTCAAATTTGTTTTAATGCTTTTGGTCACTAGCAGTTACACGTACATAGTACCAGATGACCCTTTCTCATAACCCATGCTCATAATCTCAACTACTTTGGTGCCTTTATAGTAAGTATGAATATCTATTGAGGAAAACTAGCTTGCTCTTAATTTCCTAGTTGTTTAAACTTATATTTTTCCCCACTCTTTATAGTACTGAATATGTAATTCAGTTCATTGAATTACATATTTAGTTACTAGAAAATAAACATTACTGTTAAAAGTTTTTTTTGTTCGGGTTTTTGTTTTTATTGTGGGTTGTTTTTGGTCTTGTTTTGTTTTGTTTTGTTTTGTTAATCCTCACTGGAGGATATTTTTCCATTGAGTTTTAGGGAGAGTGGAAGACGGAGGGAAAGACAGAAACATCGATGTGAGAGAAACACATCGATTGGTTGTCTTCTCCAGGAGTCCTGACAAGGGCCCAGGCCAGGGAGGACCCTGCAACCAAAGTACATGCCTTTGACCGGAATCGAACCCGGGACCCTTTGTTCCACTGAGCCAAACTGGCTAGAGCTCAGCTGAAAGTTTATGAAAGATAGATGTTTGGCACCTGAGAGAAATCTTCCCTAATGCAAAAATAATTACAGTACTTTATAGCCTGGTCTGTAGTGAACATTCACTGCACCTGCAGTAACTTTACGTGTGAATAGTACCTTGCCTTAGAAGACTGAACAAACAAATCTGTGTGAATTCACACATAGTACCAGGAGCAACTACAACTCAGCTTGCTACTCTTTCTTTTGATTTCAATTATAAAATGCCTCTAATGTTAAAGTTGGTGGAAAGTGAAAAAATATGTGTCATAAAATATGAAAATGCAGTATTTATAAATCTTGTTTGCTTTTTAAATATTCTGTAATGTTCATAGAGTTCTATGACCCAAAGCAATTTTTTTGACATTTTAATATTTTTTAACTTGTTTATATTTTGCATCTCATAGTTTAAGGAGTAGCATTTTTTTTCTTTCTTGGTTGCACATAAAATAATGGTGCCTTTTGTAATGAGTGGTATCATAGATTCATGAAATATAATACTTATTTTTTTATACTTGCTACCTAAGCTGAATTTATAGATGGTCATTTCTGTAGTTTCATATATCAAATGAAATAGAAAGGATGGTAAACAAAACATAATAACAAAGTATATTTTTGTCTTTCTGAAGTCACTATTTTTATCTATCAAAATATATAGAGAGTACTAATGATTTTGTTGTGTTACTATTTCTGTATCCTAGATATCTAAGAGAAACTACTGTGTTTTTAAGATCAGTCTTTGAACATTCATCATTGCGGATAGGATGGTGTTTGTGACCCTCACAGACCTAGGTGGTGTTTGTGACCCTCACAGACCTAGTCAGTGAATGTGATTTTCCCATAGGAACGTTCAGAAGCTGGGTCAACCACAACCCTCTGAAGATAGTGATTTGGCTACAGCACTGCATCGCCTTAGTCTGCGGCGACAAAACTACTTAAGTGAGAAGCAGTTCTTTGCTGAAGAATGGGAGCGGAAGATCCAGGTTCTGGCTGATCAGAAAGAAGGGGTTAGTGGCTGTGGCACCCCCACCGAGAGCCTTGCCTCTCTCTGCACTGACCAGTCGGAGACCACGGACTTCAGCAGTACCAGCTGCCTTCGGTGTTTTATGCCTGAAAAATTACAAATTGTCAAGCCTCTTGAAGGTAATCAGTAAAGGCCATTTTTAAGCCATGCCCCTTATTGGCCTTTCCTTGGCCTAGATTGAGGTTTGTATTGTCATTGTAAGAGCACTGTGTGCAGAAGATGTCTTTATTATCTCTAAATACCACTGTTTGGGTAACAATGCTTTGCAGTACTTTGTGGGAAACGAAGAAATCTGCATTCTCCAGATCATCAGCCATTAGCTTTCTTTTTACTGATTATTTTTTTAATATAAATGTGATAGAGGAAGATTAATCTTTCCTTGTCCTTTGCTATGGAATACTGTTGAGGGCAATTTTTATGGTGAGATAAATGGAATATAATAAGTAAGAATAATCTAGATGTAACACTTTACCTCTACTTTTCTTTTCAAAAAAGTTTTTTACTCCAGCCCTAACTGATTTGGCTCAGTGGATAGAGTGTCGGCCTGTGGACTCAAGGATCCCAGGTTCGATTCCAGTCAAGGGCATGTACCTTGGTTGTAAACATATCCCCAGTAGGGGTTGTGCAGGAGGCAGCTGATTGATGTTTCTCTCTCATCGATGTTTCTAACTCTCTATACCTCTCCCTTTCTCTTTGTAAAAAATCAATAAAATATATTCTTTAAAAAGAAGAGTTCTTTACCCCAGAATTATCATCTACTTGGAGGTATATATCCCTCTAGTTTTCTTTTTCAGTTCTGTTCATTTTAGATGTTATTGTTCTCTCCTAAGATAGAACTTGAATTCAAAATAAATTACTTTTTTTATAGAAAATTGACAACCTTCAAATGATTCTCTGCTATTATCATGAGAGTCTGTGTTAGAAAAAAATCTTTAGTACCATAGGAAACCTATGAGGGTCCCTCAAACTCAAAGGTTCTATATGTTAGTTCCATTCACTAACGATCAATGCAGGCATTTGTCGGAGTTGCCATTTTTAGGATGAAATGACTGTAGTGTCTTAATTAGACATTGCTTGTGATGCAAATGCTTGGGGTAATCATTCACCAGGACCCATAGACAGGAACCAGGGGGACATATCCCCCTTTCATCATTTTCTTCATTGTCTGACTCCCTGCTACCTTGGGGGAAGAAGAGTAATGAGCAAGGTGGGGAAGTACACACAAGCCCACTGAAAATTCAAGGTGTCTTCCACCCTAGGATCCTGGCTTTTGACTTGAAAGTTCGTAAGCCAAGGAAATATTGATTTTTGTCACCCAGGAAAATAACAGTCCACCTCTGAGGCACATCTTCCTTCTCATCACTACCTCAGCACCTTACTTCCTCTTAAGGCTGTTGTCTTGTCTTTCTTTCACCCCTGCTTTAGATGTCCTTTTTAAAATTAACTTTTGAAATAGAAAAGTTATTATTTGTATCTTCAGCAACTTATTCTTCCATAGAGGACTTTAATTTGCAAATTTTACCAAATATTAAGATCAAATAAGTCATTTTTTTCTTTACATATGTAATTTTAGCTTCTGCTTCAAGATTTAATATTTGTGAGAAGTTTACAACATGCCTTTTTATTTTTGTCTTGCGTATTCAGGATCACAAACTCTGCACCACTGGCAGCAGCTTGCTCAACCAAACTTAGGAACCATTCTTGACTCACGTCCTGGTGTCATCACTAAAGGCTTTACCCCGTTGCCTAAGGATGCCATCTATCACCTCTCAGATCCAGAAGAGGACGAAGAAGGTATCACTTTCCAGGTCCAGCAACCTCTTCAAGTGGAACAGAAACCTGCAGATCCCAAGCCAGTAACAGGAATCTTTCTACCGCCCATTACTTCAGCAGGTGGTCCAGTTACAGGTGAGAAAAGTGCTTGGTTGAATATAGACTAGTAACTAGTAGTACTTTGCATCCTGACTTACTTATGGTCAACTGAGTACCTCCATTTCAGTCTCACTATAATATACTTAGCCTTGTAATAGCTATAATTAATAAAAGTATAATATGCTAATTAGACCAGGCATCTTCCAGACGTCATTCTAATGAATCCAGAGCTGGAGGGAAGCCAGCCCGGGCCCCAGGTGCCTGCAGGCAGCCAGAGGAGGGAAGCCCGGGTCCCAGGTGCCTGCCATTGGCCGGAGGAGGGCAGCCGATGCCAGCAGCCTGTGTCTTGGGTGCTGGAGGAAAACTGGTGCCGGCAGCCGGGGAAAGGAAGGCCTACTCTTGCACAAATTTTCATGCATCAGGCCTCTAGTAATATAATAAAAACCTACAGCATTTAGTGGCCCTTCTAATTCTACTTTATCTTAGCCAGCCAACATAATTAGATTTGAGGGGAGAGAGAGATCAATTCAGTCACTGGCTTGCAAACTTTTAAGGCTCAGGACATCTTTATACTCTTAAAAATCAATGAGAATTCCAGAGAGCTTGTCTCTGTGTGTTGTATCTATTGATAATTACCATATTAGAAATAAAAACTGAGAAATTATAAAAGTATTAACTAATTTAAAAATAATAATTACGTTAACAATATGTTTTAAGAAAAATAGCTACTTCTTAAGTAGTGGAAAGAGTGGTTTTGTTTTGTAATTTTGCAAATCTCTTATTTATGTTTTAATAGAAAATAAATTCTCATATCACCTTCCACATTCAGTTTATTATAGTTTGTTGTTTTGGTTGAAGACTGCAAAAAAAATGCAGCCTCACACATATATGTAGTTGGAAAAGGAAAGAGAAAGCCTTTACAGGTATTTTCGGATATTCTTTGATTTTACACCAAAACTTGATCAATGTTTGTAGAAATATGATATCTGAAACCCTATCAGTGAACTTTTATACTTTATTACATTAAAATCTATTGTTCTGTCCTACACTTTGAATGCATTTTTTTCCCCATGCATGAATTTTTGCATCATGCATTGGTCATTTGGAAAATATTGATTCACTGAAGTTATGCAGATTTTGACATATTTTATTATGTAATATATTAAAGTCATATAAATATCACCACCTGGCTCATCAGATAAGTCTTTTAGTATTAGGAAGCTTTAAAGTTCTCAAGTTTTCCAAAATCTCATTTTCTTTTGATATCTCAAATTTTGTCAGTGACAGCAAATATTGTCAGCTACTTTTCTTGAATAGACAGTTTCATGAAAATTTCTTCCAGTTATCCAAGTCTGAATTACTGTAGTTTGCCTATTTGTTGTTCTTTCAAGTAAAAATGATATCCCATGAAAAAATTACAACTCAGTTGCACATGTGCTTTTCCTCTGCTATCTTGGTATGCAGGAGAGTGCTTAATGACTACTTCCCACTTCATCACACAGAATATTAAAAAGATTCAAGAGTCAATATTTAATAAATAATTTTTGCTGCTTCATCAAGGACTTGCTTATATGAATCTGGCTTTTTTGCTTTTTTTTTTTTTTTTTTTAAATGCTATGAATAGATAACAGCAAATGCCACCACAGTCGAAAAGGCAGATAGTGTTTTAGCATTGTTACAAAAGTGGATTCCACAGCGTCTATAAACCACATTTTGAGAACCACTTGAATAGATAGTTTGACTAGAAAGATTGAATGAGCCCTAACCAGTTTGGCTCAGTGGATAGAATGTCGGCTTGCAGACTGAAGAATTCCAGGTTCGATTCCGGCCAACGGCACGTACCTTGGTTGGGGGCACATCCCCAGTAGGCAGTCTGTAGGCGGCAGCTGATGGATGTTTCTCTCCCACCAATGTTTCTCTCTCTCCCTTTCCCTTCCTCTCTGTAAAAAAATCAATAAAATATATATTTTTTAAAAAAGATTCAACGCTAGATCTGGCTTATTGATTATTTAAAAAAAAAATTTCCGAATATCTTTTTGTCTTGTTTCTAAGCTTTTTAATCCTTTTAAATTACAGTTTTAAAGAACTAAAAGGATTCAGCTATATACTAAGCAGCCAATACTAATTAAAATATTTATATCTTTTTTATTTCCAGATTTGGGGATTTTTGTACAAATGGCACTTGATAAGTGCTGTATTATTAATAAGTGTTGATGAATTTTTTACATTATTAACCTGGTCTTTCAATGTTGTGTTTGAATCCCTAGAAGTCTGTGCTTCTGTTGCAGCTTCAAACCCAGGAAAATGTCTGTCATGCACAAACTTAACATTTACCTTCACCACCTGTAGGATATTACACCCCTCCGATGTCACTCAGGTTACTCCCAGGTAGGTGTGGGCAGTTTGAGGTCTGACTTCTTTTTTCAACTATGTGTTCATGAATTTCTTTCAAAAATTACTTTCATTTTAATTCCCAGAATTTTAATTCATGTTCTGTGATGATCTGTCTTCAAAATATTCTCACATTGTATTTTCTCATTTGGTCATTGCACATCTTTGAAGTAGGCAGGGCAAGTGAGTGCCGTGTAAATAAGGAAAATGAGGCATAGAAAATTCATGTGGCTGATCCAAGGGCAGACAGGTTATAAATGGCCCGTCTGGGACTCTACCCACAGTTAGCCAAACTGCAAGAGTTGAGGGGACCAGTCCTCTCCACACCAAAGTACCCTCACTTCTGACACCATCTGCAAGTTCAAGGGGTTCCCAGATCCACTCCCTGGTTTGATAATTTGCTAACAGGACCCAGGACTTCACTGAAAGCTGTTATGCTCACGGTGACTATTTATTACAGGGAAAGAATACAGGTTAAAATTAGCCAAAGGAAGAGAAGCATAGACCTGAGTCGGGAAGAGTTCCACTTGCAAAGCTTCCCTTGACCTTGGGATTTGTTACTTCCTTGGCTCTGATGTGTGATAGTGCACACAGAGTGTTGCCAGCCAGGGGAGCTCACCCAAGTCTCAGATTTTATTTTGAAGCTTCGGTGTATAGGCATGATTGATTTATTGATTACCCATATGGTTGAACTCTCCTCCAAGTCCACTGACCCAAATCCACCACCCTAAATAAAATGGTTGGTCTGTCTGACATGACCAGCCCCATACCAAGATCTGCTGTAGCCAGCTTCCATCCTAAACAAAGACACTTGTATCAGATTTGGCATAGATTACCTCCCAGAAGTGAAGCAAAAAGATCAGCCCTCTCTAGCCAAGGCCAAAGTATTTACTACACAGTCTAGAACATGGATATCCCATTCCAACAAGTAGCTGAGGGATCTCAACTTAATAAACCATATTGCTATTTCTGTCCTACCAGTTCCCAAATAGAATATAAGGCAGTTTTCAAAAATTCAGAGACCATTGCAGTGATACTATTAACTAGAAGGAGAGAAGAAAAATAAAGAGTAAGGCTATAAAATGGATAGAGGAATAAAGCTTAGTGTGCATATTGTACCATAAGTTTTATATACTTGCTGAGGTGAAGCATGCATTTGAGTCTCAACTTTCCATCTGCCAATGTGGAGGGAAATAACATTGTGATCCACAGTGTCTATCAGATAGAAGCAAATCAATTGTTTAGGGAAGCATTTGGGGGATATCCAGTGAAGATCTCAATAAAGTCTGTAATGAACAGACAGCTGCAATGTTTCCACATTATTCTTACAGTCAACAAGGTAAATTTTGTAAAATTAGTTCCTGAAGGGACTATCAGTTCAGGTTGATACCATCATATGAAGTGTACAATTTAGGAAAGGATAGGCACATTCTGCATTAAGTAGGGACAGGGAGGGTGGACTCTGGCAGCACAGTATGTAGACATACCTCACCCCTTTAGAGGTTTTTAATTGAACCAAGCAGTCAGTTTATTTGCATTTTGCTTCTCTTATACAAGCCGGTACTTTGAAAAGTTTACTTAGTGATCCTAGGCTTGCATTTTTTTCAGAATCTTTAAAAAACTTGATGTCTTGATATACTTGAAATATGGGGGAGATAAGAGATAACTAAACGACTTGTATGCATGCATATAAGCAAAACCAATGGACGAAAAACTCTGGGGAGGGAGGGCATGTATGGGAGTGGGGGAGGGGGAGCAATGGTAAGATATGTACACATATAATACCTTAATTTAAAAAAAGAAAAAAAAGTTTATTAAATACGGTAACATTTGATCAAGGGGGGGGGGAATTGACTAAAGAAATATCCGTTTAACAAAACAAAATAAGAAGAAACATTCTAATAGCTGTTAAAGCTTTTATTTTTAATTTCCAAGAAACCTGTATTCTAAGTAAGTCAAGGTTGAGAAAAATGTATTCCATGATATCCTTATACTACTGTTTGGAATTAACATTCCTGAAAATTGAAATTTAACAATTTTATTTGTTCTCAATAATATAAAATTGAAAGATTAAAAAGAAACGAATTTTTCCTTAGAAGAGCATCTTAGGTTTAATTATGAAATGTTGTGTTTTTTTAAAAACTCCATTGTTGTCCTAACTCAGTGGTTAGCAAACTCATTAGTCAACAGAACAGCAAACCGCGGCTCTCGAGCCACACTGCCCTAACTGGTTTGGCTCAGTTGACAGTGTGTCAGCCTGTGGACTGAAAGGTCCCGGGTTCGATTCTGGTCAAGCACCCATGCTTGGGTTGCAGGTTCGATCCCCAATAGGGGACATGCAGGAGGCAGCCAATCAGTGATTCTCTCTCATCATTGATGTTTCTCTCCCTCTCCTTCCATGAAATAAAAAAAATAAAAATTTCATTGTTTACTTATGGATTGTTGTCTCAGCATATTTCACTTTATGGAGTGGATGTATTAATAAGAATTTCTAGAGGTTACTTTCTTTAATATTTAAATTTATTTTATTTCCATCATAAAATTTAATTCTATTTCCAGATATTATAAAATTTAAGAATTTATCTAAGAGTATAGTAAACTTTCATATCCTATGAAATGTTTCAAATTATAAATATTAGCCAATCATTGAAGTAACATATCAAAATTTTCATTCCACAGATCTCCACCACAGAGTTTAGTTCAGTTCCTCTATATTTAATGTGATAACTACTGTAATTACTTAAATACTGATTTTGGAGATAACTTTTTATACTTAAATTGTCTCTCCTGCATTTTTTTAAGCTCTGGGTTCCCTTCGTTATCCTGTGGAAGTAGCAGTGGCAGTTCATCAAGCACAGCAGTGAATTCTCCTGCTACGTCCTATAGACTCAGCATTGGTGAATCGATCACCAACCGACGAGATTCCACTGTAACCTGCAGCAGCACCATAGGCTTGGCCAAACTTCTACAAGAGCGAGGCATTTCTGCTAAAGTGTACCACAGCCAAGTTCCTGAGAACCCCCTCCTTCAGCCTCTCCCTAAAGTCCTGGATATCCCTTCCACACCCCCAAATTCACCATCTCACTCACCTTGCCCTTCTCCTTTGCCCTTTGAGCCTCGAGTACATCTCTCTGAAAATTTTTTGGCCTCACGACCGGCTGAAACATTCCTGCAGGAGATGTATGGCTTGAGGCCTTCCCGGAGCCCTCCTGATGTTGGCCAGTTGAAGATGAACTTAGTAGACAGGCTGAAGAGGCTGGGCATAGCCAGAGTGATCAAGACCCCCGATGCCCAGGAACATGGAAGAAGCCAAGAGGCAGAAATTGGTCTTCGAAGACCAGACTCTGCTGTTTATTTAAATTCAGGTAACAATTTATTGAGTGGATTGAGGAGGAATCAGAGTCTTCCAATCATCATGGGTAGTTTTGGCACCTCAGTTTGCACATCCTCACCCAAAATGGATAACCTGAAGGAGGAGTGAGGTTCAGCAGTTAACTGAACTCTTACACAAATTAGCTCACGAAGGATAGATTTGCACTGACACATGTAGTCCGGTCTTACTGAAAGAAAAGGAATGTTGCAGATGGTCTGTGAATATGGAAGAGGAAAGTGGAAGATTGAAAACAATTGGGATGAGGTCCTAATGAGTAAGGTCTAGTAAATTGAAAGTATAAATGAATGGGTCATGAGTGGAGACAGAAAAGGAACAAAGGTTTAACACACTCCTTCAGTTGGTTTTTTTGTTTTGAAAACGAAAAGTGACCAGAAAACAAATTCCGTAATATTGAAATATACCAGGAATACTTAATTTGCTAGCACATTTACTTCTGGTAAGTATAAGCAGAGAACACTCCGGTTAGGAGGAGGTGAGAAAGGGACCTGTCTTGACTATTGCCTAGAGAAAGCTGTACTGGAAGGTTGCTGGGGTCATCAGTCTGTTACTGAGACAACACTGAGGTGGTTTTATGTTTTCTGTTGATGTCTGGTTAGATTACGCTTTAACATATAGCAAGCTCTCAGCATTAGCAAGCAAGGTATTTTCATAAAATCAGAACAGTAGAGAGTCTTTTTGTTTTCTATTTCCAGGCCAGTGAGTCTCTGGGAGCCCAAACACCACCCAAATTCCTTTTGTATTTGTGATTAATAAGTTCATTTTTAAAATTTGTATTTTTATACAACATCCAAAAGAAACACAACATTATGGGAGGTAGGATTTATTTTTTAGAAGGAAATATGGGCAAATTGGAACCAATGTAACTTTTTTCCAGAATATTTATTCTGGATAAGTGTGGTGCCCAAGGATTATGAACATAAATGAATTTCCTTGGAGGCTGGATGAGGTTAAATCAGAAGTACAATCAGTAGGAATTAGAAAATATTATATATTTACAACTGTACACTTTTTTTAACAAGTACAGTTGGCAACTAAACTCTTTCTAAAATGTGCTATGCATATTTTTAATGAAAAATGACATGTATTTGCACAAAAATTCTCAGGCACATTAAATTATTTATTATAAGCTGAAGTAAAACCCAGGTGCTTGCTTTGAGACTGATTTTTTAAATATGAAATAATTAAAACACATCTGCCTTTTTCTAGATATCTGTGAAATTATAGAAAGAACTTTTTAATGGGGGAGTCAAAACTTTTGCTTTTTGAAGGTGAGGAAGGGAGATTATTCTCCAGGAGGTCCAATAACATCACAGTGTCTTCTTTGGGCCATTGGTCTTGGCCATTAGTCAATGCCATTTCTAGGACTTTGGGCCACTTACAAGGTCCCCGTTATACAGACACCACAGCACAAACTTAAAAGTCTTCATGCTTAAGACTTAGCAGGTGAGCTATTTTGGAAGTTTTGCAGTGTGTTTTTTATATTTCTTTTTTTAGCTGATTCTTAAAGCTTTTTTATTTATTCTCAAAGAAAGTAATCTTATTGCCAGTTCCTAAGAGATATCAGGAATTAAGAAAATGTAGGGCCATAGAATAGTACAAAATTATGAGATTTATGTCTATTATATAAATATCTATAAATTAAGCATCAATAAGTTAAGATTTTGGACTGTTCTGTATCATTACTATACTTTTTTATAACCAATGCTAAAATGATCACTTTGGAGGTGGGCAAGGGTGTAGGCACAGCCAAGTGAAGCACATCTGATTAAGGAGAACCTGACGTAAGTTTTTGAAAATTAGGTTGATGTTGCTCTTCCACCAAGAAACAGGATAATTGTATACTAGTGCATGCTTCTCCCTAGAAGTGAATTCTGTCTTGAATTGGGTTTTACTGTTTGCTAAAGCTTTCGCCTAAAATTAGTTTTGGTACAGCCTGAGAATCTATTATACCAAAACGTGTGCAAAGTATAGTAAGAAGAAATGGAGCCTTATAGCAAGTTCCTTCTCAATTATCTGTTACGCTTTAACATTTTAGTGCTTTTTTTTATTATTTTTTTTATTTTATCAATTGTGTATGTACTTTTATGCCAGTATAGGAAACTCCAGTCTTTTTCCATCCTTTAAGAAGATTCTCAGTGATTATATCTCAGGTATTTCTGAGTATCTTATTATACAGTAGAAAGGATACCTTCCTAAGCTCAGAATTAAAGGGTCTCCTGGATTATGATGATCCCAAATCTTCTGTAAATAACCTTAGGCATGTGACTTAAGGAAAAGGTAATGGCCATTGTTAAAGTAGTTTTTTAAAAAGTTTTATACTATATGTCCTTGATTTAACACAAATTAACAGATTTTGGCAAAGGGAGGAAATAAGTTAGAGGCAGCTCATAACAAGAGCTGCTTTATAAAGATATATTATATATGGTATTCAAAGTCTGTTTTGCGTTTCTGACCACTTTAGTACATATTAGTAGTACTTGTTGGTTACTAACATTAACTATTGACATCTAAACTAGAGCTCTGAGTATTTAATGGTCCACTCCTTTGAGGTCGTGGACCTATACTCCAAGTGCAGCACCATAACATCTACACTGAGTGGTTTGCATTGCGGAGCACAGCTACCTAGGAGTGGCCAAGTGCCCTCTGGGGCAGCCAGGAAAATACTGTTGTTTGATATCTGGGGCTTGACTTGTCAAACAGCTCTTTGTTGCACCTACCTTTGCTTTGTCAAATGTAAATCAGATAATAAATATCTTCTTAAATTTTTATTTGTCTTCATGTGTAATTTGTCCCAGTTCTTGTCACTGAAAGTCCTGCATGAAGTCTTCCCTTTCCATTATGTTTTGTTTTTTGTTTTTGTTTTGTTTTTTTTGGTACAGCCAACACAAAACAAACCAATAATAGTCATAAAAATGTCTTGCCTTCTCAGCAAAATACTAATGTTAGTAGCATCAGTCCTCTTCCTGGGCCTCTGGAAAGAAAAGAGCCTTTTATGCAATGCCAAAGTTGCCCTAAATTCAACCAGAGAAAAGCAGTTACCACTTAGCCCCACTTCATTTCCTTCCCTTCTGTGTTGGAGCTGACAAAGTTGTATTAGTATCTAAAAGGAGGAGGGAAAAACCCCAAAGTAGTGTTCATTAGTGCTAAGCCTTGGCCAAGTCAGCGCCTAGGGTTTTCCTTTAGAGCCTGCTTCTTTTGTAACTTTGTTTTTAAACACTATCCACATAAGGTCCAAATCCTGCTCTTTACATCATAACAAAACATTTAAGTATAAAATCTCACACAATAAACAGGCTCAAATTAAATATCCAGTCTCTAGCTAGAGATGGACTTGACTAGGTGACTAGTCAAATCGATCCACTGTTCTCTGTAACTTCTTTCCCTCCCTTTTAGCTTTTAAAGATTGTCTCCATCGAGTCTGCTCATAGTGCTTGGAGTTGTGGCAACCACAAGACTCCCCTCAGCACACTGAGGTTGCGTGACAGAAATATGAAAAGAACCCAGTTCTTCTATGACATTGCTGAGTCTGCTTCAGTTCTGGTAGCACTACCTCCATACTTTGTAGTTCATGAAATGAATGAACCTCTTTGATTTAAGCCACTTTCATTCAAGTGATAGTTGTACATGCTAGAACTAACAGCTGGCTCACCTTTTAGGAATATTGGTGTTCCTCAAGGCTTTGTTCTAGACCCTCTTCTCTTCTTACACAACAGCCTTTCCCTGGGTGATGGGATCCACTCTCTTGGCTTTAAATATCTACTCTGAAGACTCCTGATGTGTTTCCAGCCCAGACTCTTCCTGGAATTCTTAAACATGTAATAGATATCTCCACTTGGATGTTTCGCTGGCATCTCAAACTCAACATGTCCAAGCCTGAAGTGGGGCTCTACTCCCGGGAGCCTGTGTATCCCCAGACTCTCCCATCTCAATAAATAGCACTGCCAACTACTCAGTTGTTTAAGTTAGAAACCAAGGAGTCATCGTTACCTCTTCACCCCAACATCTGTTGTATCCCACTTCTGCTCCCTCAGTTAAGGCCACCACTGTGCCTCATTTGACCACCAAATTGGTTTCCCTGCCCTAACCAGTTTGGCTCAGTGGATAAAGTGATGGCCTGCAGACTGAAGGGTCCCAGGTTCGATTCTGGTCAAGGGCATGTACCTTTGTTGCGGGCACATCCCCAGTAAGGAGTGTGCAGGAGGCAGCTGATTGATGTTTTTCTCTCATCATGTTTCTAATCCCTCTCTCCCTCTCTGTAAAAAAAATCAATAAAATATATATTTTTTAAATTGGTTCCCCTGCCTGTCTTGGCCCCTCCAATTGTGTCTACATTGCAGTCAAAATGACTGTTCTAATATGCAAAACTAGTCAGACCACTCCTCTGATTAAAACTTGTCTGACTCATTAGATTAGGAGAGAAATCCTGCCACACAATCCCACTGCATCTGGTTTGCAAGCCTCACTGTGCTTTCGTTGAATGTATTGTTTCCCCCACTAGTCTCTAAGCTCTATGGAACACAGGAACTGATCTATATTCTCCACCTTACAAAAGTGCCTGGTACACAGCAGATAATAATGTGGAGTAGAATGAATGGATGAGTTTATATCAATGTTTGTAAACTATGGGTTGTGATCCATCAGTGGATCAGGACATCAATCTAGTAGATTTATAATCAACTTTCATTTTAAATAAAAGGGGGAAAAATAGATGAGAATAGTATATAACCAGGGTATGATTTCATACAACTTATTATAAAGTGTAATATATTTCTTTTTTTTAAATTGATTTTGGAGTGGAACGGGGAGGAAGAGAGAAATAGGAACATCAATGATGAGAGAGAATCATTAATTGGCTGACTCTACACACCCCACACTGGGGATCAAGCCCACAATCCTTGCATGTGCCCTGAGGGGGAATCCAACACTGACCTCCTGGTTCATAGATTTATGCTCATACCGGCTGGGCTAAAATATATTTCTTTTGTATTTCAGTAAAATAAAATGAAAGCCACTGGTCTATAAGCTTTTTTTTTCAATAATGAGAAAAAGCAGCCTTAGGGGGGGGGGGAAATCTGAACTCCCAGGAA